GCCTTGAGTTTATTTATATTACTATACGTTGTGTTTACTGTCTCTCTCTCTCTCTCTTTCTCTCTCTCTCTCTCTCTCTCTCTCTCTCTCTCTCTCTCTCTCTCTCTCTCTCTCTTTCTCTCATATTTACATTATAATATTAGAAGAAAATAAGAGAAAAGGACAAAAAAAAATAATAAACAAAAAACACAAAAAGAAAACGAATCCGATTAAAAGAAGAAGAAAGAAAAAATATCTCGTTCAATTTATTACTATACTTCATTTTTTCTTTTTATTTTTCAGTTTTATTATTTTTTTTTTTTTTTTTGTTTTTATAGATAAATCAATAACCATTATTTTTGGCTTTTCTAGTTGACGATAGGATATATAAATAAAATTGTTACACAACATATACACCTCTTCGCTTTATAATTTTATCGTTCATATTATAGATTAGATTTTATTATGTATATATATGTAATATATATATATATATATATATATATATATATATATATATATATATATCATTCAAGAAACTCAAATCATGTTCTTCCTGTAATGCGCGAGAAAAGATTACGTTTGATACGTTCTTCTTATCTCTTTATATCAATCGAATGAAAACTTTATTTTATTTTATTTTATTTTATTAATTTTTTGTTTGTTCTCTCTTTCTATCTCTCTTTCTCTTTCTTTCCTTCTTTTCTTTCCTCATTTTATTTTACTTACAGTTACACATTTATTTATTTTATAACAGGATACACATGTACAATGAAATCTCTGCATAGTGTTAGAAAAAGACGAGGTCTACGAATATTCTCAATTGAAATTAAAAGAATCAAAGAGCTACGTAATTTTACGTATCATCGTATACGATTAATTTTTTACATATAAATTTTTTTTTTACAAAAAGGGAATGAGGGGTGAGAAATAGGAGTGGGGGAGAGAGAGAGAGATCGTTCGGAAATTTCTAATTTTCTATACATAATTTCACAATATATGCGAAAGAAAAATTTAACCTTCAAGATTTAATAACCAATAGAATTCTATGTATATTAAAAATAATTTATATATATACTTATCGATAATTAATATACATATATATATATATATATATATATATATATATATATATATATATGTATTTTGTAGTCGATTATATAAATCATAGTGTTCGATATATCCGATCATATCTAATTGTAATTAATTCGATATTGATACGTAAATGGCCCACCCACGTATACTTTTGTGATTCTATCGAGTTAAACGAACGTGAATGTTACGATTTCAGCTGGTATATCGTCATTTCCGGTTATTTCGTAATACGCGTGCTCCAGATCAGAAAGAAAGAAAGAAAGAAAAAAAAGAAAAGAAAAAGGAAAAAAAAACGAAGAAAAAGAAACAGAATAAAAATGAATATGACGACGACTACGATGAAGACTACGATGACAGAAACAACGTTCATTGACGTTCAACGACGACTACACAATAAAAAACTTTTTTGTTATATATATAGATATATATATATATATATATAAATGTACTAAAGAAATGTACTGAAGAAATGTACTAAAGAAAAGTTACTAGACAGCGTTAAAAGTTCCTATAAGTGATTAATTAATTTATTTAATTAATTAATTCATTCATTCCTTCATTCATTCATTCATTCATTCATTCAAAAAGAAAATAAGAAATCGTTTACATTTCTTCGATAATTTTCAAGTTAATCTTTCCTTTTGTATCGTCGAAATTAATAGGATCCTTGATTTTTATTAAATCAGAAGAGAAAATCGATTGAAAATCAAAAAGTATGAAAGTAGTATTGAAAGATATCGAGTAGATATTTTTTTTTTTTTTTTTAATAATCATTTGCGAATATCTTTGGTCCATCTGCGAACTTTTAAACCGACCTGTACCATTACTCATAGAAATCACATCGTAAAATCCTTTGTATCTTTTTCTATTTTTTTTTTTCTTTTTTTTTTCTTTTCTTTTTTTTTTATGATGTATGTACACGTCATTTACTCTCTCTCTCTCTCTCTCTCTCTCTCTCTCTCTCTCTCTCTTTTTTCTTTCTCTCTCTATCTTTCTCTTTCTAACACGGATCTATTTCCAATTATCTCTTATCTAGAAATTACACGGAACTCTAGATATAACTTGTTTCTTTATCTAATTCCTCTTTTAAACGTTATTCGTTAGATTTATTAAGAGAAAAATAAATTCTTAGTTATAGTTCATTCATTCGATTCTACGATATTTATTATTTTGACGTAGTTTAAAGTTCGATCGAATGATTTTGCTGGAACCAAAATGGCGATAAATGCATTCATACATACATACATACATACATACATACATACATATGTACGTACGTATGTTTATATCTATATAATTATTTTATGTGTATGTATCGATTTTACAAGGTCATCAATCATTATCTTTCGATTATAACAAATTATCGATTATGTTATATTACTGACGTTCGATAAGTTCATTGATTTTTCATTAATTAATTGATTAATTAAGAAAAAAGAAAAAAATTTGTGTAAGAAGAAAAAGGACGATACCAATCGCGAGAAATAATTTCTTTTTCTTTTTCCTTTTTTCTTTTTTTTTTCTTTTTCCTTTTTCTTTTGTTTTTTTTCGCTTTTTTTTCCTTCTTTCTAATTCAATCACGGAACTAAAAATTTTCGACTCGCTTTAATTTTCATCCATTGTTAACGAGGATTATTTCATTGAGGATCAGACAAAGGTAACAAATAAAAAAATATATATTGTATCTTGGATGCAAACTGAAGAAGGATGCAATTGGACAAAAAAAAAAAAAAAAAAAAAAAAAGAAAAAGTGAAGGTAGAGAAACAAAAACACACACACACACACACACACACAAAAAGAAGGAAAGGAAAAAAAAAATACAATCGTGAGAAATAATTTCTTTTTCTGTAATCCTTCTCTCTTCTCTTTCTCCTCCTTTTTTTATTCTCTATCGAATTTTCTTTCTTTCCTCTCCACCCTCTTGCCCGTTCTTTTAATACCAATCTTCATCCTTATTATTATTATTTCATCGAGAATCGTGAAGTAAGAGGAACAGAAACAGAAAATCAAAAGAAAAAAGAAAACAAAACGTTTAAAAAAAAAAAAAAAACCAAAAAAAAACGAAAAGAAAAAAGAAAAAAAAAATAATGTTTATCGAGGATGCACAACAACGCAGCTGGATTACGCATAGGTCCCATCTTTTTGAACGTTCGCTTACGAGGATTTTTTTTTTTTTTTTTTTTTTTTTTTTAAATAAGATAGGTAAGAGTGGGGATAGGAGAGCAGGAGAGGGGGGAGGGGAGGGGGAGCAACGTATGGTAAAAATATGACGGGAGAGAGAGAGAGAGAGGAATAAGATCGCACGGCTGTTCGAGTGAAATAGAAACGAATCGCGAAGCTATATAATGGTAAGGTGGAGTGAGGAGAGAGGGTTAGGCGAGAGGTATGAGAGCAAGAGAGTGGGAGAAATGGTAGATAGGCTAAGGGGTGAGGATGAGGGGGCCAAAGGTGGAGGGGGAATTATCGCAAGGCAAACCTGAGATAAGAAAGGCAAACAGAAACGCGCTCATCGCGCCGTTCGCCGCCTCCCTATACCACCACTACCATCACCACCACCACCACCATCACCATTAATATTACCATAACCATCACTACCACCACCACTACCACCACCACCACCACCACCACCGGACTTCCTTCTCTGATTATGGTTACCAATATTTAAGTCGACACCCTGATTACGAAGCGTTTATTCTTTCTTTTCCTTTTTTTTTTCTTTCTTTTTTATCTCTCTCTCTCTCTCTCTCTCTCTCTCTCTTTTTTTTTCTTCCTTTTTTTATTTTTTTCTTTGTTTCTTCCTTTCGTCGAGAAAAGAAAGAAACGAAGGAAGGAAGGAAGAAGAGAGAGAGAGAGAGAGAGAGAGAGAGAGGAAAGGAAAGAGGGGGGAAGAAAGAATGTTAAAGAAATGAAAAATTTTTTGTAAAAATGTAATGTAAAAAAAAATGTTACTCCAATTGGTTTTTCTTTTCCTAGTATTTTTTTTTTCTTCTTCTTTTTCTTCCATTTTTTGTTTCTTTTATCATGGGCGTTTAACTTCGTTCGTTTCTTTTCTTTTTTCTACTTTTCCTCTTTTTTTTTTTCCTACGTCACATTTTAATTTTTTAACTTGTTTTTTTTTTTCTTATTTTTCTTTTTTTTTTTCCTTTTTCTCCCCCATTTTCTGTAATCTTCTTTTTCACAGATCTCTGTGTTGCGCCGGCAAAATTGCGAGCTGCAGAAAATCGTCCTCGAGTTGGACACGAAAACGAAAGTATCGGTGAGTTAAGGAATATATATTTTGTAAAAAAAAAAAAAAAAAAAAACAAAAAAAAAACAAAAAAAAAAAAAGAAAAGGAAATTAACGAGTAAGCTTTTTTCTTTTCTTTTCCGTTTTTTTTTTTCTTTGTTTTATTTTATTTTTATTGGCTTTTGCTTTTCATCGACTTTCTTTTTCTTGTTTTCTTTTGTATGAGTATTATCATTGACTATCATTATTATTACTATGACAATTATTATTATTGTTCATTCATCATTATTAATTATTAATTATTAATTATTATTATTATTATTATTATTATTATTATTATTATTGTTATTATTATTAATATTATTAATACATAATCTATACGATATTGTATAGTACGAGAATCCAGAACTAGAAACGTTATTTTCTTACTCAGCACACGGAGAGTCTCCGAAGCCGAGGAGCGTGACAGCTGATGAGGCTGATAATATAAAACTGCCGAACGCGACACACTCTCCCCTTTCTCACTTCGTATTACGCCAACGACTGCAGCCATAACTCTCTTTATCGTTCTTATCGATATGGTTTAAAACCGTTTTCACTAACTCGCTTCGAGCCAACGTTTCAGGTCAAACATTCCTTGACTGTTTCGTAATTGGGCATAAAAATGGTTCCATATTTCGTCTTTTCCTTTATCCTTTCCTATTTTTTTTTATTTTCCTTTTTTGTTTTCCAACTTGAAGAATAAATTGCAAAAAGAAAAGAGAGAAAATGATTATCCAGCGCAAGCAATATCCATTAATGGTGAGAAAAATAAAAAGAAAAAAAAAAAAAAAATAGACATTCCAATCTGACGCAGAGAAATTTTTTCTTAAGAGAGAGAGAGAGAGAGAGAGAGAGATAGAGAGGAAAAAATGGGATGAATAAATAAAAAATTACTAGGGCAGAATTGTTTTCAGAAAGACTTTCTTTTTTTTTTTTTTTTTTTTTTTTTTTTGAAGAGAAAGAAAAATAAGAAAAAAGAGAGAGATGGAATGAGTGAGAGAGATCGAAAAGAATGATGGAATTTCGATAATCGATTTAGAGAATATTTTCGTGATTGCAGTCGATCCTTACCAACGAATTATCACCTCTCAGAACCGTATTTACGTATGTGTACATGTATGTATATAAGAGAGTTGGTTTGCTTTTGCGGTTTAGTTCGACCTAGAAACTGCCTAGCCTCGGCTCGTGCAACA